ACTTATCGAAATAGTAACCCGTCGTCGTTCGATCGAGGTCGAACTCTTCTTCTTTTTGGCGAAGGCCCTTGGCCTTAAAGGGTGTTATTTCGAACTTATCGAAATAGGAACCCTCCGTCGTTCGATTGAGGACGAACTCTTCTTCTTTTTGGCGAAGGCCTTTGGCCTTAAAGGGTCTTATTTCGAACTTAGCAAAATAGGAACCCGTCATCGTTCGATCGAGGTCGAAATCTTCTTCTTTTTGACGAAGGATCTTGGCCTTAAAGGGTGTTTTTTCGAACTTATAGAAATAGGTACCCGTCGTCGTTCGATCGAGGTCGAACTCTTCTTGTTTTTGGCGAAGGCCCTTGGCTTTAAAGGGTGTTATTTCCAACTTATCAAAATAGCCCTCGTTTCTTGTTGGCGGAGGCCCTTGGCCTTAAAGGGGTTATTTCGAACTTATCGAAATAGGACCCGATGGGGTGTTATTTCGAACTTATCGAAATAGGAACCCGTCGTCGTTTGATCGAGGTCGAGCTCTTATTCTTTTTGGCGAAGGCCCTTAGCCTTAAAGGGTGTTATTTCGACTATCAAAATAGGAACCCGTCGTCGTTCGATCGAGGTCGAACTCTTCTTCTTTTTGTTGTTGGCGGAGGCCCTTGGCCTTAAAGGGGTTATTTCGAACTTATCGAAATAGGACCCGATGGTTGCCTTAAGGTGTTATTTCGAACTTATCGAAATAGGAACCCGTCGTCGTTCGATCGAGGTCGAGCTCTTATTCTTTTTGGCGAAGGCCCTTGGCCTTAAAGGGTGTTATTTCGAACTTATCGAAATAGGAACCCGTCGTCGTTCGATCGAGGTCGAACTCTTCTTCTTTTTGGGAAGGCTTGCCTTAAGGGTTATTTCAGGGTGTTATTTCGACTTATCAAAATAGGAACCCGTCGTCGTTCGATCGAGGTCGAAATCTTCTTCTTTTTGGCGAAGGCTTGGCCTTAAGGGAAGGTGTTATTTCGAACTTATCAAAATAGGAACCCGTCGTCGTTCGATCGGGGTCGAAATCTTAATTTTTTGGCGAAGGCCCTTGGCCTTAAAGGGTGTTATTTCGAACTTATCGAAATAGGAACCCGTTGTTTTTCGATCGAGGTCGAACTCTTCTTCTTTTTTGGCGAAGGCCCTTGGCCTTAAAGGGTGTTATTTCGAACTTATCAAAATAGGAACCCGTCGTTGTTCGATCGAGGTCGAACTCTTATTCTTTTTGGCGAAGGTCCTTGGCCTTAAAGGGTGTCATTTCGAACTTATCGAAATAGGAACCCGTCGTCGTTGGATCGAGGCCGAGCTCTTCTTCTTTTTGTCTAAGGCCATTGGCCTTAATGGGTGTTATTTCGAACTTATCTTAATAGGAACCCTTCGTCGTTCGATCGTGGTCGAACTCTTCTTCTTTTTGGTGAAGGCCCTTGGCCTTAAAGGGTGTTATTTCCAACTTATCATAATTGGAACCCTTTGTCATTCAATCTAGGTTGAACTCTTCTTCTTTTTGGCGAAGGACCATAGCCTTAAAGGGTGTCACTACAAAAAAAATGCTAAATTTGCGGCTGTTTTATTGAGGCGGTTTCTACAACCTCCGCAATCTATAACAAATTGTGAGGGTTTATTTAACCCCTAAAATATATTAAATTTGTGGCGCTCGTTAACCTACGCAATCATTAGAAAAATAGCGCCCAATGTTTCCCTCGTTTTTTAATCGTTTCCCTCTCTTTTCTCCCCAAACCCCTTTCTTATTTTCGCTTTTTTCATTTTCAGAAACCCACTCTCACTTAATCACTTAATCAAAAATAGCAATATTCCATTTCTTCAGACTTAATCTGGAGATGCCGAAATCTCTACACGAAGCTGTAAAGCTTACAGGAACAAAACTTAATCTCTTCCATTTCTTCTTCACTTGATCTCTTTCATTTCTTCTTCATTTAATCTCTTCCATTTCTTCTTCATTTCCTCCGATTTCAAGCTCTCTGCTTTTCTTCAATGCCTCATCTTTCTTCAGCGCCTCCTCTGTTGCAAAATGAAAGAGATATGAAAGAAAACTTCAGATCTATCAATCAATTGGATGTAAGTTTATTAGATTTTGCTCTTTCATACAAATTCCTCTTCGATTTTGCTTTGATTTTGCTCTTTCAGTCTTTGATTTTGCTTTTTTTTCTTTCTTTCTTCATGCATGCGGGTTTTAAGTTTATTTTCTCTGTTAATTTGGTAGAATCGGTGTATGTTGAAGAAATTTGGTAGAATCGGTGTATTTTGAATCGGCAGAAATTTGGTAGAATCGGTGTATTTTGAAGAAGGATATAACACTCTTTGTTGAAATCGAGATGCAAGTCCTCTTTCTCCTTTCGCATTAGGTTCTAAAATTTAGGTTTTTGTGTATTTTGTAGGTTAATTTCTGTGATTGATGTCTTAATTGAAATATTTCCTTTTGCATGTGTATTTTAGAACTCCTGGGGACCTTCAGAGAAGACGCAATTGTTGCCGGCTGCTTTCCCTCTTTCTGCTCTACTTTGTGTTTGAATTAGTCTCAAGGTACATTTTTTGTTTTTCTGCAGGTTCTGGGCATTTCATTCAATTATTATATCTAAAAGATTAGCTTATATATGCCATTTGACAGCATGTGATCACTTATTAATGTATACATAAGTTACAAGCCAATTAATAGTTCAACTTGAAGCTGCTTTTGTTTCTAGTAGAATAGACTGGATGAGAATATGATATAAACCAGCATGTGCTACGAGAGAATGACTACATTTGCTTGCTGTTCAAATCTCTGGTTGAGTTTGTGTAAGGCCCCGTAAAAATTTGTGCTCAAAACCTAGTAGCTTGTAGTGTCAGGTTCCGAATATGTGTTGGGAATGTGTAAAAAAGCTCGCCGAGGTTCGGACCCATCGTACTGATCTAAGTATTTAAAAATCAAAGAACCAAGTTTTTCTAGAAAAGTGTTATTTTTGCGGTCCAGAATGCGGTTGCAAATCATGTATGCGGACCGCATTTCTGCCGCAGATTGAGTCAGTAGTTTGGTTAAAATTAAGGTCAAAATACGGTCCATTATGCGACCGCATAACTGATATGCAGACCGCATTTCTATCGCAAAGTGAGTCAATGTGTCAGTCAAATTTGAGGTAAAAAATGCAGTGCATTATGCGACCGCAAAATGGGTATGCGGACCGCATTTTCGCTGCAGACCCAAACAGTAGAATTGGATTTTTGGAGCACTTTTGCGGTCCATTCTGCGGACCGCATATCTGACTCGGGTACCTATTTTTCTAAATTTTAAACCCGACCCCCTTTTTAATAAAACACCCCAACCCCTCATTTTAACGAGTTTTCTGAACAAAATAAGAGAGAGGAAGAGAGGGTTCTTGAGAGAGAAAGTCATCTTCATCGAATTTGATTCTTCAAAACTATCCGGGCCGGGAAATTTCAAAGTGATTATCTTCATCCCCATTCTTGTAGGTAAAATCCCTAACCCTTTTTCATTGATTTTCAGGTTTGAACATAAAGGGGGATTCTCATGCATTGATTCTTGAAAATAAATACATGCATGTCTTTTAAAACGTAAAACCTAGTAAGGGAAATTGGGTAGAAGTAGAGGTTTGCAAAAGAAGGGCTGATAACCTAAAAATGTTCGGGTAGTAATTGTGAGCTTCAATTCTAAGAAATGTGTGTTAACTTGTGCACTAGATTAACGTTTCTAGACCGTTTGGTGAATTGAAAGTAGAAGTTAAAAGGAAATTCGGCTCCAGGTATGTATGGCTAACTTTAACCTTTGTAGAGTCACCTTGTTTGGCGTACGAGTATTTGGTATGTGTTACTTATGTGGACTATTTGTGAATTTTGGTTGCTTCACGAGTGTTAAGGCAGGATGACCTATTTCATGAACTCTTGCGATTAATATGCCTTGAACATTGTTGGTTAAACGTTCCGATATGATGGTGTAGATAAATGGCTACAAACCATGTGTGTGTGTAAATGTGTTTATGTGGTAAGGGCTGTGTAGTAAATGATGGAAAGAAGTCGTAATTGATACAAATGAAAACTCTTTGTGAATTGTTATTGTTGTTGTGAAATGATATTCTGGATGGCCTGAAGCCATGTGATTGAACTGTGGACTATTGTTGTTGTGTGAAATGTGATTGTCCGGTGGGATCGGGTTGCGCGCCGTAACACAAAATGATAAATTGTGGGTTGGGGTGATATGGGTGGCCGAGGTAATAAGGGTGGCCGAGGTAATAAGGGTGGAAAAGTGATCGAAATCACTATTGAAATAAACGTATGTGAAAGTTGTGAAATCGTTAATGTAATGAAATGATGTTGGAAGGGAAAAAGGAGAGATTGTGAAACTTGTTTGACCTTGGTTGTTCCTTTCACGTGCATTTGATTGTTGATTCTATTACTGTACATTACTTGTGTATTGTTTGAGTTTACTTGGGGTAAAGTTTGTTCATACATACCAGTACAATTCAAATATACTGACGTCCCTTTTGCCGGGGAAGCTACATTCGTGTTATGATTGTAGGTGGATCTATAGCAGGTACTCCAGTCCACCGGCCGTAGCACTCCTTCACTTTCCGTCAGCTGAATTGGTGAGCCCCTTTGCTTTCGTGGCCCTGCGTGGCTCATGCCGCTTTTATTTCGGAGTCTTGTTTTGGCATTTGTGTAAGGTATAGCCGGAGCCTTGTTATCGGCAAGTATTGTACCATCCTTTTGTATCCTTAGAGGCTCCGTAAACACAATGTGGGTGGTGTACAGATGTATTTTGGGTAAGTAATGGTACGGTTCGGAATCGTGATCCACGCTAGTAAATGTTGTAAGTATTGGGTATCATATGATGGTAATGATAAAAAGTCAAAATGAATTCAAGTTGTAAGTTTATGCTTAAGTTATAAAAGTCTATTTCACAGGAATAATGTATATTGAAATCACGGGGTAACGTGTGGGATAGGAAAGACAATTCCAGATCCGCTTGACTGGGGTCCTCCGGTTGAGCGCCGGTCGCGTCCCTCGGTTTTGGGGCGTGACAGTTTGATTGTCAAAGCTTACCTTTAGAATGGTTCAATGTGGAAAAAAAGGCAAAAATAGGCAAGGAACGCATATGACCTTGGAGATTAGGCAAAAATAGGCAAGACCCTGCTCGGGACTTTGCTGAAAAAATGTGCTCTCCTTATCTTTTGTTACTATTTAGGCTGAATCTGTTGCATTCTTATTGATCTTCATCATTCTTTTACAAGACAGGATTGACCGGATTTGACATTTGTTGAGCTGTTTCTTCAGCTTGTTCATAATAATGCTTCCCATGTCTTCGTCCGTGACAAATTTTTGCCTCTTCTTTTCCTTTTCTTCAGCTGAAAATGCTTTTCGTTTTTTGGAATTACAGCCTTTCTTTTTCTTGGTTAGAGAAATTTAACAGAGATATTTTCTTTCTTCTTCATTTTTTTGGGTGCCTTTCTTCTCTGCCAATTGTCTGTCTCTGTTTCATTGCATGGTCTTCTTGATTACACATTGGGTTAGAGAAATTTAACAGATGTTTCATTTTATTTTTAATGATTGTGCCTCCTGGCAGTTCACTTGAGGGATCTTTTGCATTGTGTTAATTCCTCTTGAACTTGAAGACTATGTCCATCACACTTATTATCACATTGAGTATTAGCCAATCTCCTCTTTTTTGTAACAGTACCATTGCCTAAAGTCTTTCTCTGTTTAATCTTCTCAATCAAATGCTGAACAAAGAGAGGATTCTTGAAAACTTTTGCCATAAAGATTACCATATACTTTTGCCTCGTCTCACTATTCTGTAACCTCTCTTTAACAGTAGCTAAGTAGCTTTCTATGCTCTCTTGTTGTTGTTTTAGACTCTGGACTTCCATTTTCTATGTGTTTTGATCCTTTTTCAGCTTCTCTAATTCAGCCTCAATACCATCTTTATTGCAAGAACCGAGCCAAGATTGTGCTGATCCATTATGGATGATCATTGTATCCATTATGGATTAATGTGATGTGTTGTGTATGAGAGAGATATCCAGAATTAAATGCTGGATTCAAGTTGGCAGATTTGTGCATGTTTGCTTATGATGATTTCTGTTTGCAATGAGTTCTCTGGAGGCAGTTTCGCGCATAGCCTAGCATAATTCTGGTACTGGCTGATATGGTGCAATTGTTTATATAGAGCAGTTGACCTATTTTATTGCCTATTTTTGTTAGCATATCTATGAGTGATTTATAAGCCAGAAAACTGTTAGAGCAAATCCAAGCGCACTTTCCGTATGACAATTTAAAACTCAACCTTGCATCAAAAGTATGATTTACCACAGGCTGTGAAGAAATCATCTGGTATAGGACCATCCGGTGAAGAAATCATCTTAGTATAACTATAAGTCTTAGCCAATGCTTTTCTTTTATTGCTTGCAGGTATGCCGTAGCCCAAGCGTTACGAGAACTTCCAGAACACCTTTCAGTCAGCACTTACATCACAAGGTGTAGCACAACCTTTATCAACAACTCAATCAACACCTTCACATTTTGATGATCCACCACAGCTGACTTCATTTATTCAACCGACAGCACGACCAACACCTTCAGGTCATGTTGCAGCAAATCCGATTCAGTCAGATCAGACCACAACACAGCAGGTTCCATCAGCCCGGGCTGCGTCACAACACCCACCATCTAGAAAGCGTAGTGGACGTGTGTCTTTGCAACATTGGACTGTAGATGCAATAGGTATGCTAAGCTTCTTGTTTTTATGGGGTTTGGTTTTGATTTTCCGTGATATTTTCCCTTGTTGAAATTGTATTCGTCGACTTGATCATCAACCTTAGCAGAATTCTTGTCTTTACTGGGCTGTTACTTTTTATCTATTGATTTAGAAGTCAGTTTTAGTGGCTAAGGCTTTACATATGATGGACACACTCCTGTCTGCATCTTTGGTGTTATGATTGAGGGCAACAAGTTTTGGACCTAGATGAATCTTCAAGTTGGCATCCTTGGTTGAATAGTTCCATCAAAATAAGAACAGAAAGATTAGTTTTTGTAGTATTATTAGTGATTAATTGTGTAATAAAGTACGGCATCCTTTGATTATCGAATTTAAATATGGGATTTTTAGGGTAAGATTGTAAATACATTCCATAAAAGTTATAGCTGCTAGATTCTGCTTCACACAGATATCTAGCAAAATTGTACCTAGTACATCTTTTCAAGAATACACCATATGTATTAAGTAAAATATTTTAAGAACATTTTACTCGCTGTTCTTTTCTCTTAATTGACAAGAATACACCTTCAACTAAGGACATGACAGTTAAAATTGACATGACACACATTTAGCATACATTCACTGTTCTTTTCTCTTAATTTTGACACTTATTAATCAAAAACCTGGTTGATTGTTATAAGATTGAAAGTGCGTTCCTGCTGCTTTCAAGTGTTTCCAAAAACCTGATTGACTGCTGCTTTCATTATTATCTTTTAAGATTCGCAAGGAGCTAGCAAGATACTTAAAGTGAAAAAAGGGACGTGTTAAATTTATCTAATGGAGAACGCATTGTGGTTGATTTTGACTACACGGATTCTCCCATTGGTGAAGGACAAGGCGTTCTTGCAGGCTTTTGCGGAATTTTAGCAACCAACGGCTCCATTTTTCCAATTCACTTTGAGAAATGGCCGGATTTACCTGTGACAACCTTCAACCGTCGTTATGATCAATTTATAAAGGTATTACTGAGGCATACAATATCTCTGTTTTATGTCATTGGACTGTATTGTTGCATGTAATAATTATCTAACCATTGGTTTATTCTTGAAGCCTCGATTTTGTTTTAGGACAACTGAGTCAAATGCAAGACGATATTTTTATAATTCTATGTGTAAGAAGTGGGGCGCAAAAAGGCTAAAGCTGTTTGATAAGGTCTATGATCCACTTAAGAGCAGAGCTGAGATAATGGATAGTGTTCCACTAGGGATTCCACCAGATCAATGGATTTCTTATGTTGATTACCGCTTTAAAGAAAAAACACAGGTATTTATTTCAATGCTTCAACTTTTAATTACTAAGTTAAACTGTTTGATTAGAATAAAAATCAAGTACGAGTAAGTATTTACTCATATATTCTGTGGAATCTAGCAATCCCTTGTTCTCATTCTTTTCCAGGTATTTTTACATTTATCTGGACAAACAAGGAATGTTGGTTATACATTTTTTTTTTTTTTTTCTCCAAGTGATAAGTTTTTGGGGATTGTATGTATTGCCTTGATGTGTAAGTTAGTGTAAACAGAGATTTTATATAACAGTACCATTCTTCATTTGCCGGTACTACTTTTCAGTAGTCTTTCATAGCAACACCAAATCTACTCAATCTGTGAGCCTATTTCACAAGGTGTACTCTTATTCAGTTATAGTAGTTGATATAATAAGCTTACAATATTTTGATAATAGTCAAATTATCATTGACAATGTAATCTAGCAAGAACTAATACAATATGGAGAAATAGTAGCTTTGGAACAAGAAAGTTTGGGTGCACATCTCACTGAAAAAGAAAAGTTGCCTATTGACAAATTTATCTTTCTATACCTTAATACAGATTAAGCAAGCTAAGAAGTCTTTTGTAAAGTCTCAACAGCTGTAGCAGTTTTCTTCTGAAACCCGAAAATCTGGATCCGAGTGTCATATTTAGAATTATGTCGCTTTTGCAGATGTATCAAAGGAGACCTCTGAAACTACTTTTGCTCCTCTTCCTTTAGCCATGTAAAGGCCTATATGATGCATCAATTCTTATCACAGCAAATGCAGCAAATGATGAGAAAAGTGAATGTGTAAATAGAAATTACTGCGTGAAAAATAAAGTGTATGTAAAGCTCAAGTCTTTGGTAGCTAAAATACATGAAACAGAAACAACTTATTGCAGTTCCTTTTTGTTAGAAATATGCTTTAGAAGCTGCTCTCAGTAAAATTATTTTACTGTTTCAGCTATTTACTGCAGTAATTTAGTTTGAATTTGAAATAATTTTGAACTAGTCTTTAGGAGTGAAGTAGTCTCTAGGAGTTAGTTATTTTCAGCATATTTTGTGCTGATTTTTAGGTCTTTTAAGTTAGTATTTCTCTTATAAATTGTGGTCCAAATGCAGTAAAATAATATAGTATTTTCAGCTTCAGTTCCTTTTACATCTATTCCAATATATTTTTTTATTTTCTTGTCATCTTCCCAGTTATTTCCCTTAATTTCTTTTATCAAAAACCAACAATTGGTATCAAGAGCCATCTTCTTAAGGGACCTAAGTAAAATCTTTTCTTGAGTGAGATGGAGACTGAAATGAGTTTTTCTCAATTGGCTCCTCCAGTCTTTGATGGTGAAAATTACCAACTGTGGGCAGTGAGAATGGATACTTACTTGGAGGCTTTAGATCTTTGGGAGGCCGTGGAAGAGGACTATGATGTTCTTCCGCTGCCTAACAATCTCACGGTGGCCCAGATCAAGAGTCACAAGGAAAAGAAAATCAGAAAATCAAAGGCGAAAGCAACTTTGTTTGCTGGTGTGTCTGCAACAATTTTCACGAGAGTTATGGCTCTCAAATAAGCAAAAGAAATCTGGGATTATCTGAAGGGAGAATATACAGGAGATGAAAGAATACGAGGCATGAAGGTGTTGAATTTAATAAAGGAATTCGAGTTGCAGAAAATGAAGGAATCTGAGACTGTCAAAGAATACTCAGATCGGTTGCTTGGCATTGTTAACAAGGTAAGATTGCTTGGTACTAAATTTAAAGATTCAAGAATTGTTGAAAAAATTCTTGTTACGGTGCCTGAAAAATATGAAGTAGCCATAACTACCTTGGAAAATACAAAAGGATCTATCCAAGATTACCTTGGCAGAATTGTTAAATACATTGCAGGCACAAGAACAAAGGAGGCTTATGAGGCAAGATGGTATGGTTGAAGGAGCCCTGGCAGCCAACCACAAAACTCAAAGCAAGGGTAATAATGTTAAAAAAAAATTACCCGCCTTGTCAGTACTGTGGCAAAAAAGGTCATCCACCATTCAAATGTTGGAAGAGGCCAGATGCAAAGTGCAAAATTTGCAACCAACTTGGTCATGAAGCTGTAATTTGCAAAGGCAAATATCAAAAGCATGAAGTAGTGCCCAAGTCGCCAATGAAGAAGAAGCAGATCACTTGTTTGTGGCAACTACTCTTTCAACCAAAAAATCTGATTTTTGGTTGATTGACAGTGGTTGTACAAACCACATGACATATGACAGAAATCTTTTCAAAGAGTTCACGTCTATAGGAAATAAGAAAGTCAGAATTGGAAATGGTGATTATATACTTGCTAAAGGAAAAGGAACTGTTGCAATCCCAACAAATTCAGGTACTAAGAAAATTTCAGATGTTCTTTATGTTCCTGATATTGATCAAAATTTATTAAGTGTTGGACAACTAATGGAAAAAGGATTTAAAGTATCCTTTGAAGATAAATATTGTTTCATTTATGATGCAACTGGACTTGAGATTTTAAGGGTTAAAATGAGAGGTAAAAATTTCTCATTTGATCCAACCGAAGATGAAGAATGGAGCCAAAAGAATCTACTAAGTGCAGGTAATTCTCCAACTGAGGACATATGTGAAAATAAGGTAAGGAAGAAGTTGTCGAAGTTGTCAATATTTCAGAAAATGCAATTCTGGAAGAAAGTTGACAAGTCTCAAGGCAAGAAGCAAATGAACCTGAAAAACGAGCCAACTTATTTCATTAACAATCATGAGATGCAGCAAAATACAGAAGTGAACTCGATTCACTGCAAGTCCAAAGATCAGTTGGCAGATTTACGTACAAAGTCGCTTCCAGTTAAAGGTTTACAAGGGACAAATTCAGAATTTGCAGCTTCAAAAGCAAGGAGGAGTGTTAGAAATATGCTTTAGAAGCTGCTCTCAGTAAAATTATTTTACTGTTTCAGCTATTTACTGCAGTTTTTTAGTTTGAATTTGAAATAATTTTGAACTAGTCTTTAGGAGTGAACTAGTCTCTAGGAGTTAGTTATTTTCAGCATATTTTGTGCTGATTTTTAGGTCTTTTAAGTTAGTATTCTCTTATAAATTGTAGTCCAAATGCAGTAAAATAATATAGTATTTTCAGCTTCAGTTCCTTTTACATCTATTCCAGTATATTTTTTTATTTTCTTGTCATCTTCCGAGTTATTTTTCTTAATTTCTTTTATCAAAAACCAACACTTTTTAGAAAAAAGAAGTCTTAAAATAACCTTGTACTGAGAAAGTGTAATGATAAATTGATAACAGTCACAAGAAAAATCCTAACATATCTTTCCCTTTTCATGTATAAATCCAACTCCTCAAAATCCTAACATATCTTTCCCTTTTCATGTATAAATCCAACTCCTCACCTTCTTGAGCATATTAATTAGTGAATAAATATTTTTTTCTCTTGCCAAAGTACGTAGATGGGGCAACCCAAGTAAACTAATAGTGAGACTTTTTTTGAAAACCTGTTACAGCTTACACTTTTCTTCTTGTAAACCAATATATATGGAGTCTTTCCTTGCATTATGTCTGTTTGGTTGACTTTTTTTTTGGTATCTTTTTGTAAGGAAACTTGTAAAAGAAATGCTGAAATTCGAAAGAAACAAATTGTTTCACATATCGGTGGCTCCAAACCTAACTCCAGAAGAAGGGCTGAAATGGTAATAATTCATTTTGGATACTTTAATTAAACTAGCATTTATTCCTAGTTAGTTAAGTTAATGCGAATTTGACCTTTTCATTTATAGATGGCTGAGACTGGACAAAAGCCTGGACGAGGACAACTTTATCTGATACACATAGGAATGAAGATGGATCATATGTTAATGAGGCGGCAAAAGAGATATGTATAAGACTCTCATTTCTCCAACACTTTCTTGTATGAGTACTCCTGGCTTTTGGTGTGTAATGTATGACGGTCTTCGCAATCATATCTCTAGTGCTTTATTTTTGTCTGGTTGGAGTTTGTCTGGCTTTCGAAAGCAGTCAACTTATACTTTTTATAGCTATTTCTGCAATGCTCATATTTTGTACTACTAATACTTTACTCCTCAAAGGATGGCAAAAGTTATATATCAAAAATCAATGTCTTGAATCTTTGATGATGAGAACTCTGAAATCTTCAGTGTCACAGCACAATCGATCATTTCATGTATTCTTTTGAAGACTTCTTTTGTTTTGTCTTCTGTGAAATATTGGAATTATAATTCATCCATGTAAATCTGAATCCAAATTTGGGGAAAAAAAAGAATCTGATAGCAAATAATCTGCATAAGTAGTACACGATTCGAGTGGTCAATTCTCTGCGAATAATTTGATGGTTCTATCAGTGAAATGGGGTATAAATAGGAAAATTTTGGTAGATGAGAAAGAACTAAAGTACGTACTTACTTTCTTTGAAGCAGCATAGGTAGGAGAAAAGTCGGCTGACTTAGGCCAACCATTGTGGACTATTTCTTTGAGATTTGAAGATTCAGAAGATTCCTTACTGTTGTTACTGTTATTGGAGCTCCTTTTGTTGCTGTATTTCTCTGTTGTTACCTTGAAATCTCCCTCCTCTATGCATTCTTTCATTTTCTTGTCTTTGGTTTCTTCTTCTGCAACCTCCGGAAAGATGTCCACCATGATGTCTCTTTTCATCTAAAAGATCAAATTTTTATTTCATAGCTTGCTTTTCTATGTGTAGCTAACTTGTCAATCACTAATTGAAGTAAGGACACTTGCTTTTGGTGTGTAATGTATTTAGGAAAAAATTGAACTAGCATTGGCCCAAAGCACCGTGGATGAGTCTGAAATTTCGCCAAATAATGTTGTTGGTAAGGTGTTGGGAAAAGAGCAATCTGGAAGGGTAAGGTGCTTAGGATTAGGAGCTGTTCCTAGCAGAGCTTTTAGACAAACAAGACCTCGTTATAGTGATTTGAATGCTTCAAGTTATAATAATGGTTCATGTTCTTCCCAATGCCAAGAGAAGTACAATCAAATGTTGAATGCTCACAATCAAAGCCAGGAGCACTACAGAGAAATGATGAATGTTAACACTCAAATTATGAATGCTAACACTCAAATGATGAATGCTTTTAAGGCGTATATGATAATGAAAGAAGGGAAGATACCTGAAAAATTTGCAGGGATATTTGTTTCTCCTCCTCGTTCAACGGTAAGAATAGTTCATAACTTTCTTATTTAATTTTGTAAAGTATGATTGTTCAGTCCAAATATAATTAGTTATAGGATATTGTTGAGGTTCTTTTTGTTAATTATATTTTCTTTTGATTGTTTTGTAGCCAAGTGATGCGGCTAGCGGATCCATTTTACCCACGGATATAAGAAGATCATCCGATGGAAGTAATCCTAACGACAACCATTGAAGTTTCTTGCAAATGTATTAGGTAATTAAGTATCGTACTCGATTGAATGATCATAGTAGATCTTTTGTCCATAATGGTTGGAGTGGATGTTATGTTTAATGTTAGTTTTAAGACTTATAATATTGATGTTTTGTGTTTAATGGTTGGAGTAGTTGTGTGTAAAGCAAATTTTTGAGACTAATGATATTCTACTTTAATGTATTTTATGGTTTATTAATATATTGATGTTACTTGATTCCACTAAGCAATTTATATAATTTGTTGATGCTTCATTATATTAATATAATTGAAATTGGAACAGTTATGGAGTAACATTATATTGCAGAAAAAAATATATTCAATGAAGAGCGGAGGTTATAACTGCCGCTATTTAACCTATGATAATATTGTGTTATAAAATTCGTGGGGGTTAAATAAAGAAATTGCGGGGGTTCAGACCTCCGCTATTTGTTTTAATAAGCGACAACCAACTACCAAATTGCGGAGGTTATACCGCCGTCAAATATCCGCCGCTATATGATAATGGCGGTCTGTCAGGAAACCCCCGCAAATTGGTTGCGGTGAACATTATTGCGGGGGTTTTTGGAAACTGCCGTAAAAGTGTATTGCGGAGGCTTATGACCGCCGCAATATGTAGATAAAACCTCCACAAATGCAGCGTTTTTTCGTAGTGTGTTATTTCAAACTTATCGAAATAGGAACCCGTCATCGTTCGATCAAGGTCGAGTTTTTCTTCTTTTTGGCGAAGGCCCTTGGCCTTAAAGGGTGTTATTTCAAACATTTCAAAATAGGAACCCATTGTCGTTCGATCGAGGTCAAACTCTTCTTCTTTTTGGCAAAGGCCGTTGGCCATAAAGGGTGTTATTTTGAACTTATCAAAATAGTAACTCGTAGTCGTTCGATCGAGGTCGAACTCTTCTTCTTTTTGGCAAAGGCCCTTGGCTTTAAAGGGTGTTATTTCGAACTTATCAAAATATGAACCCGTCGTCGTTCGATCGATGTCGAACTCTTCTTCTTTTTGGCGAAGGCCCTTGGCCTTAAAGGGTGTTATTTCGAACTTATCGAAATAGGAACCCGTCGTTGTTCGATCGAGATCGAACTCTTCTTCTTTTTGGCGAAGGCCCTTGGCCTTAAAGGGTTTTATTTTGAACTTATCGAAATAGTAACCCGGCGTCATTCGATTGAGGTCGAACTCTTCTTCTTTTTGGCGAAGGCCCTTGGCCTTAAAGGGTGTTGTTGATACCCAATTTTTCCCTATGTATTTTTTACATACAAATGCTTTCAAAATAGAATATATATGTATATATAATTATGCCCAAGTGTTTTAGTATTTTTTCCAATTTTTAAAATCAATTTATTGTCCATTTTAGCAGTACAAAAACCAACAATTATTCCCAAAATTATCATTTTGGTACTTATCAAAATAGGAACCCTAACCCGTCGTCGTTGGTCATTTTTGGTGAGTAACTTATTTTATTCTCATATTTATACCAAAATATAGCTAAGTAATTTTATACATTTTTTTACAAATTATTTAGTATTTTAAAAGATAAATTGCATGTTAATTGCAATTTTAGCTTATTTTAAGAATTAATAGCATTTTATAATTATGAAATTGGTTCCAATATTTTTAAATTAATATTATATATTATTAACTGATCCAGTACTTTTAATTTGCTTTCCAAAAATCATTTTTTACTATTTCTATAAAATAGAAAGGTGAAAACTGGCTATTTAAAATTCTGGCCTCATTTTATTCCAGTTATAGCTAAAATTGGCTCCCCTAATTGACCCAATTTCGAAACCCAATTTCGGACCAGCCCTAATCCCATTTAACCCAACCCTTAAACCCGTTTTAAATTACCCGACCCAAGCCCTTTTGATCTGGGCCGTTGATCTTCTGAGATCAACGCTCCTTCCACCCTCCATAATTAAACCTAAGACTACACCCTAATCCCCTCATTCTCTTCTCTCAGTCGCCTCCAAACACTCTCCTCTCTCAAAATCTCTCAAGGTTCCTGAAACCTAATCGTCTTTCTACCATTTTCAAACCTCAAACTCACCGGAATCCATGGCCGTTTAGGCCATGGATGGCCTGCACTCATCTCCCTCTGCTCTTGAACGCTTGGTGTTCGAAGTTTCGAAGGTCTGACCTCGATGGTGTTTGTTCAGATCTTCTCCGATTTCAAGGGTCTATGGCCTCTCCGACCTTGCTCCGGCTTATCCAAGCATTTATTGAGCCTATGTCTGACTTATCGACTTAGATCGGACCTTTTCCAGGCCTTTCTCGCATTAGGGTTCCTCTGAAACCCTAGCTTATTCAAGGTTTTCTCTGATTTGTTTTCTTAAATCTGTTCTATATCTGTGCTCTACTTGAGTTCTTAAATGTTTGCCCAAATTTTTTTTTCTTTTCAAAAAAATTGCTTCTCTTCGATTTAGGGTTTTTGAAAAAGTTCAAAATGTTTCTCTGACTTTTTCTTTTCCTTTTCTTTGTGCGTATTTGTCACGCATGTCTCTTCTCTGCTTTCTTATGTTTTTCTACTATATATGTTCTTCTGTGCCTTTCTTTCTACTGTGTTTCTTACACCATGCTTGCATGTTCATCCTGTTGTATTTTTCTATATGTCTTTTGATATATTTTAGATATTTTTGTTTCCACCAGACCTACTGATTCAACGCCTTTTACTGGACCTTGTTTGAGTTCCCTTTAAACATGTTTCCTCACTTCTTTCCTTAAGTGTTATTACTACCTCTCTTCGAACTTGTTTAAGTCCCAGGTTTTCTTAAACATGTCCTATCTACCCTCACTATGCTTCAAATCAGTATTTACGTTTACTCTGCTTTTCTCAATCATGTATCTGTTTGTTTCTCTGGAGTCTCTGAAAGAGATCTTTGAGCATTGTTTAATTACCTGCCTCCTCGTCTCTGTATCTTGATTCTAAGTTAGAACCCTAGAATTTGGGGTTTTGACGAGGTTGATCTCGTGTTTGGATTAGGGTTCTATTTTGGAACCCTCGACTCTTTTAGACTCATTCTGAGTCTAGAACTAAGTTATGAATTCTCTTTGTTTACGACTCTGAACTTTTAAATTCTTCTACTGATTAGCACAATAGTTCTTCGTGCTTAAGTGTGGCTGTATGCTTTTATACGTGTGATAAAATTCTTTCTTTCCAAAAGGTTTTCCACTTATGATTCAGAATCCTTTTTTAGGTTTATTTGATTAGTTATATTCCTTAGGTCAAGATGCTTCCATCTCCTGACCTGGTTCATTCACATGAAATCTTTCATTTCTGATTTTAGCTGGCTGTTTGATTGATTGCCTTTCCTTATTTTGCACAAACCGTAGTGCTATCAGACTTTTTCCTTAAATAATCTCTGTGATTTACCCTTCTTGTGCTGCTTCGGAAAAGTGTTTGGTCAACCTACTTTCCTTAATTATTTTTACCCGTTTGAACATCAGAATCCCTTAACTTAAAGGGAAACTTGTATAATTCATTGTACAAACTGATTTTTTAAATTATTCTCTACTTATTCTGCTTGCCTTTCTACACTATAAAAAGGGCACGACCCCTTTTCTCACCAAACACCACCTTAAATTCGACACTTTTCAGATACTTTCAATTACATAACTCTCAATTTAACCACTTTTACACCACATAATCTCGTAGCTTCTCTTCTAAAATCTTTCTGACTATTTGCTTGCAATTTGGCTTTACAAGACTACTGCTTTCTTTTCTTGTTTCCTGAAACTAGTATGTTCTAATTTAGTTTCAACCTCATCCAATGTGTTTATGTTACAGTTTCTACAATCCTGTCTACTTTGTATCTATGCTTAGTTAAATATTGTATGATGTTCTCTTTGCATCTGTTTCTGCTCGTAATCCCATGTACCCCTATTCCCTTCTATGTGTTTGAAGTTAAAGTTCAGAAATATGGAAACATCCAAATTGTTGCTCATGTCTGGACTTGATCCTTTAAGGGGTCCTAACTCCCAAACAATGTGGCTAACAGGCTGGTTTGGGGTTATTGCCAGCACTTCCAATTGCCTGGGTTGACCACCAGCCTATCTCTGCTTTCCCCCCAGAAATCCCCTCTTTGCTCTTTACACTCTCTCCTAGCTTCTAGTTCTTGCCCCTCCTATGAGCCTTGCTTTGGGACCTTGAGTTCCCTTCTGAACTGGACATTTGAGGGCTGGCCCTTCTACACTGCTCTATAACTTCAATTCTGCAATTGTATTTGGGTCGTAAGCACTGCCGGAGTCCATCTTGAGGCTCTTAGGAAACTTGGATACATGCCCAAATAAGAGAAGAGGCTTTGGAAATCTTTGAATCTTTGGAGTATGGTTATTTTTCAACAGCTTCAGACAGAAGTCTGAATCAGGCTCTCCTTGGTTGAATTTTTAGTTTTCTATGTAATTTATTTCTCTTTCTTTTAACTGCGGGCGCTGTAATATATCTTGTAATAACTATAGCCGAATTTTAGTGAAAAGGGAGGGATCAAGTCATGCATGCAAAAGGGGGTGATGTCACGTCATAGGGGAATTATTCATGCTTCTGCCCTCATATCTGTGATACCCAATTTTTCCCTAGTTTACACCAAAAATTTCCAGAAATTAGCATATTATGTGCATATATAAGCACACCCAAGCAGTTTCATCTCTCTCT